AAGTCCGATTGCTTTGATATTACATATATAGGTACTACATGTGGACCTCTCAGATTTGTTCATTTTGTGATGATATCTTCAATTCTCTAATTAATTTATTTTGGTGAATATTTTTGTAATTTTCGGTAAAAAGTGATATTTTCGACTTCTTGTTAAAAACTGTAAGTCCGATTGCTTTGATACTATTCATATTGTTCATTTTCTAATGATGTCTTCAGTTCTTTAATTGAAATGTGCATTGCTAACAGCGGAGCTATCTCAGCCGATAGGCTGCTTGTTTTCAATCAAAATTGAACGAAAAGGTTTGTAAAGATTTTGCTGAATTTTTGTATCTGTTTAAAATGACAGGTAGACAGGTGGCTGGCTAGATGCCGAATTGAAGCTATGTTATGACGTGGCTTGTTACTCACTGCATTAATTAAGTAATTAAAATTGTATTTCTGCTCGATTGAATGCAGGTGTTGAGTTTTTAGCTGCAAATGAACATTCCTACTTTGGGATTTAATACGAAAACGTCAGTGATTGAGAACGCTGGGATGGTATGACTGTAAACTGGTTAATTTTCGTGATTTTATATTATTTGTGAAAACAAAATGTTTGTGGAAGTTACTGAAACTTCTTATCGTAAGACTCCAAAGAAATTTTCACTGCTACAATTAAAATATTATGATTTTCATTTCATATATTAATTAAAAGGCGGTAGTTGTTGCGCCACGCATGTGCGAGATATATGGGTCTCATATACTGTGGAATACTTTATTTTCGCTTGGAATTAATTTTCGCCTTTTTCGCTAAAGGAATGATTCAGTGAAAATAAAATCCAGCGAATATACCTGTTTTCCTATCTTTTACATTCAACTCGCCAAAAATCAGTGAAAATAAATTCCATATAACACACCTAAAAAGTCTTTTCAGCGAAAATAAATTCCAGTGAAAATAAAGTATTTTACAGTAAACAAAGATTGCGACTTTGACTGTTGCGCAGATCAACGAGTACAAAC